GGAGGAGACTGGTATTAACTGATATTCAGTACTCAGCTCAGAATACAGTGAACAGCATCCTCTAGTGGTGAGAAGAGCTTAAAACACGCTTCTGCTCATGAAAAGTCAGGAGGGGAAAAAATCTAAAGAATGGCTGTTAATGCTTTAGATTATTATCTGTCAGTGGGATCAGATTATTTTTCCTGATTCAAGTACAAGTCAACTCAGAAGAAGGAAGTCTATTTCTTATGTACTTTCTGTTATACTTATCTATACATCCTCATTCATGGCAAGTTTGTGAAGCAAGGGAAAATACACAGACAACAAGAGGAAATATCTTGTCACGTCAACAGATTTTCTTAACAAAATAAGTCCTAAATGTTGAATTTAAGTTTAAAATTACTTCTTAAGGCTTTTACCTTTTTTAGAGAGTGTATCTGCAGAAATGTACCGTATCTTTATGTAAGTAAAAGTACATTTAAAGGTGTGTGTGTGTGTGTACATTAAATGTATCTTTAAGTCTTTTAAAAAGTATATTTTCAGAAGAAATTACTATTTTGAATAAACTGTGTTGTAGTTCAGTTCATCAGATGCTATGTCTAATAATAATTTGACTATATACTATACAAAATCAGATTTGCACCATGCATCATCATGAAGAGTAATGTTAATAAGAGATATCATTGTCCTTTAAATAATACACAAAAAGTTATAAATCACAAGTTGTACACATCATATAGTCAGCAGAGATATATAAGTGAACCTGATATGTATGAACTTTTTGTCCAATGTCTGAAATAGTTTAATTGTTATATTATTTTTTTGTTTCCATTTTTACAAATTGGTGAGTAAAAACAAAATGCCAACAGAACAAGTGATAAAATGAAATATTTACAATTATTGTCATTAAAATATAATAAAACCAGCACTGACAATATGGCAGTAAAATAACGATGAGATAAATTAATGTTTCTTACCAAGTTCTTAAAGAGTTTTCTTTGGTGAGTTTGCTGATGGAAGTTTTCCTCTCTGTGTCTGCTGCCAAAAAGGTGAGTTTATATATCATCAGAGTCCAACATGTGCACCGACCTGTTTGACAAGTTGTCACGTTTTTTTTTTTTACATAATTTCCTTTAAGGAAGGAACAAACTGTCTATGCAGGGATTGCTGTAATCATGGATTGCATTAAAAAAACTAACAAAAAAAACCCAAAACACTGACATCAAAGACTTGTCACCCAACTCCTTAACATGACATTTACAGCTTTCATTGTCTTCCAGATCAAATGACAGCAAACAATACAGCAACACAATCACTATTCAGAGTTCTGAACCGACAGCAGACTTTTGTATGGTGACTGAAGAGGTGAGTATACTTTATTTATGACCCTGTTTTGTCCTGTCCAGCAAACAATGAACACCCTGTGTTATAATCACAGTGACCTGTAAGACTACTCTTTCCTATTAAAGGACCAGTGCGTAGGATTCAGTGGCATCCAGCATTGAAGCTGCAGATTAAAACTAAGTCAACACCACTCGCAAGAAACACGAAAGACCCGATCTAAAGCCAGTGTTTGGTTTGTCCGTTTTGGGCTACCATAGAAACACAGCGGCCTTCATGGAAGGCGACCCGCTGAGTTAAGATATTTAAGGCTCATTCTAATGTAGCTCTTATTATACACGAATGAAAACATACCCATGAGTATTATGTTTAATTTCTGCCAATAGATCCTCTGAATGTTACACACTGGACCTTTAAATTCTGCTGTTTGACTTCAGACTGTGAGGATCATTATTAAATTAACATTAGACACAGAAGAGGTGCAGGTTTTTGTAATCAGTAGTTACCCGCAGACTCTGAGACGACTACATAATTATGCATTTTGCATGAAGTATTCTTTATTCCATCCACTCTTGTAGATTGGACTATGTCATGTCTTTGTCATCCTCAAAGAACATAATGAGTGATGTGCTTTAGGAGGGATTTAGAGGTGGGTATACCCAGTGCCGACTGAAGACAAATACTCCGTAACTCATTTGTTTTTTAATCACATTTACTGTCAGTCCACAGATAGATACAGTGACCCTGAGAGCTCAACGCACACACAAACAGACAAAAGACAAGCAAATGAAGATAAAAATCACGTATGAAGCGTAACAAAACACACACAGACAACACAACCAAATAGGGAAATAAATACAGGAAAAAGATACATTTGCAGCACGTTTCTGTCGTGTGAGTTTGTTTTTGTATTAAATTGCAAACAGCATGCAGTGCAAGTTCAACCTCCCTCTGTAGATAAAAACAGCTCATTCTAAAGGTAACAAAAACACAGCGATTCTTATTTTCAGGTTATTTTACACGAATAAAACACATACTATTATTAGTATTAGCAGTGGGTTCATGTATTTGATTGTGTTTGAGCCATTGAGTCATTCCTGCTCTCAGATGGACAGGGTGCCACATCCCTTTTGGTTCTGCGTGAAGAACATGCCGACTGACCGGGTCCGAGTGGCACCTATGTTTGCCCACACACACACACACCCACCGACACACACACACACAAAGCCAGACTGCAGTAAGGATCGGGAGAACTGGTTTGTTTGGGTTATATTTTTTTTTGCTGTGTCACTGACCAAACACATTCATGGATAAACACAGTTTTAGTTTCCAGGATGTCTAATCTGAAAAGGAGCACAATGAAAATGGTCTCAAGTTTCAAAAAACCTGTTTAGATGACATAACTTTCCCCTGAAAGAGAAACATGACATTCTCCAAAGGGCAGCTTTCCCTCTCTCTTTCTGTGAGTCTTTTCATTAAGTGGTAAAATGAACAGACGAAGAAGGACTTAAGTATATTCACCCCATAACTAATTTTACTTCTTTGAAAGTAAAATGTATACTTTTACTGTTTTAACATGCAGAAAATATGATAATAATGACAATAAATTAGGATTTTTGCCCTTATTTGTTTATTGAATCTCATTTTTTAAGTTTGTGTACTTACTGCTTGTTGTTTTTCTTCACCTTTATATCTAATTAATCACAGTCATGTATATAATAGGGAACTTAAACCATGTGCCTTTACATACTGTGTCTTTATGTATTTTTAGTTTGGCATGAATTAAATGACTTTTTAACCAACAGTGTACTTTATATGTACAATACTTAAAGTTGCAGTGTGGAACATTTAAGAGGATCTATTGGCAGAAATATAATATTTATAGGTTTTCATCGGTGTATAATCACCTGAATATAGGAATCGTGTTTTTGTTGCCTGAGAATGAGCCTTTTATCCACAGACGTTATAGAAACATAGATACCTCATTCTGAGAGATGTAGACTTCTCTACAAAATCGACTGCTATTCCTTTAATTCTGAACCGATTTTCATTAAATTAGATTTTTTCTTAAAAGCGAGAAATTGAACTTGATACTGTTACTTTAATTTAGTTACTAGGGGGCAGATTTAATCAGCTTCACGCCAAATAGTTACCTTCTGAATAACCACAACGTCCACTGAGACATGGAGGCTGCGATCTATGAACATCAAGTGTAAATGATTTAGAGTTATATAGATATGTAGATTTCTATACATATTATATTGTTATGAAGCCACCTGGTTGCTTGTTTTTATGAAATGTGAATTTTGTCTACAGGAAAACATTCATCTAACATAGGTGAACTATTTTCCCCACACAGTATTTCTTGCCAATTTACTGTTAGACAGTAATTTGTAGCATGTGTTGTTGCATTATGCACCACCTCACGCGCACTAGTACGGTGGTTGTTTTTTTTGTTATCCATGCCAGTATCACGTTCAGTTTCTCACGTTTATAACAAACCAAAATTCATGAAAATTGGGTCAGAATGAAGCGAGTTACAGTCGATTTAGTGGTGAAGTATTGTTCACTACGTTTTTATATCTACGGCGGTGGGGCTCTTTGAACTGCCATGTTTCTCCTACTCACTCTGCAGCCCGTTCTCATTCTCAGATTGCCAAATACGGACGCCAGCAGTGTTCAGTTAGTTGCAATCTCTACCTTCACTTCTAGATGTCACTAAATCGTACACACTGGACCTTTAATCACGTCAGTATCAGTTTTTACAAATGTACCAGAGAGTTTCTGATATTTAACCTACGTTCGTTGATATAAATGAGGGGAAATAGAAGGAAACACCTTTCAGATTGATTTTGTTTAACAGTAGAATACAGGAGACAGGACTTCAGGGTGCTCAGAGGTGTTCGTATGTGGGTGTGACGTAGGTGTGACTGGAAGGCGGGTGATCATCTGTTTTTCCCCCATCATGACTCAACTTCCGAACGCCTGTTGAACTCCGGTGAACTATGAACACAGCAGATTTTTTACCAGGAAAAAGTTGTGACAAGAAGACAACCTTTAACATTACATTTCTTTTGTGTTCTGTCATGGAGAAAGTATCAAATCTTTTCACTTTTGATTTATGACTATTAATAAAAATCTATCATAATCCATTACAACCTCACTCAAATCCAGACTGTTGAATGTTTTCATGGAAGAACTCTAAATGGTCGCAATGCAGAAAAAAACTTTAGTCTTTTCTCTTGAGAATTACTGAATAATTTGACCTCTTTAGGAATCTAAAAAGTATTCAGTAAACAGAAAGTGTTATTTCACCATTAAGTTATGTAACAAGAATATTAACAAATGATAGTTTCTCTCACATGATTTTGTGTGTCAGTCAGATTAAACTCTCAAAATGTTACCTAAAAGTATAAAGAAAGTACTTAAGAGTATGGACCTAAAAGTAAGAAATATACCTGTAGAATCATAAAATCTAAAATAGAAGACCAAAAAGGTTTAATTTCTGAGTAGATTTGGAAGCCAGAATGATTAAAGCAGAATATAAATGTTTTATTGCGTTTATTTTAGTTCATATTTGATGATTTCAGTAACATTCAAACCCCAACAACTCTTAAATCACCTGTGTGGTTCTTACATTAAGGCTTATTGCAGGTCAGGAAAGTTTAGACTCTTTCTTAAAGCTTTTGTCTAACAACAACCACATGTACAGTTTACATCTTATAAACTCAGAATGTACATGACATGAGTACATACACGAGTTATTTTGGTACATTTTCCTGTCAGTTTTCCAACATTAAGACAGGTTTGCAGGCTGTTCATCACTTTGAGCCCCTTTACACTAGCTCTTTTGTTCATGTTCTCTGTCAACAGATGACACCCCCAGGTAGAGGCAAACAGGCCTCCATAGGTAACATACCGTACCTACCCCTGCACTCGAAGACATTCTCACGTCACAAGCAAAGGCGTTTAAGTGTTCCTCTGCATGCACACGGTCTCATCTTACACAGAGACGCTCAATCAAAGCCCACACAGGTGTTTCTATTATTCACACCCTGTTACACCTCACCACTCTCATCTTTTTTAGTTAGTTATTGTTTGACCTATTTGTGCCTTCTAGGAAATTATTTTTCACATGAAACCTTCTGCTTACCTCTTTTAAAAGAGATTTGTGAGGCCAAACAAACATCTAAATAATCATAAACAGCAACAGAGACTTTATTCCTTTAAGAAAACCCCCAAATTTGACACGTTTTTAATGAAATTCCTACATTGTTCAGTTGTTTAGACGCAGTTACATTACAATACAATACAATTTAATGGCATCCAAACAGATTTTCAGTATAAAAGCAAATTTTTTAGGTGGATTATGCTCTTGCACCATCACAAGCACTCCCGAAACCAAAAGCCCACAGCTCTGTCAATATACTGACATGGTTGATATTATCAAATGCTTGTATTTCGTAGTTGATATATAGACAGATTATGTTGTTTGCTGACACAATATTTATAATGGCCAGTTCCTGTTCATGGGCAAACAGATGAGACCTTGCACTCTCAGTAGGTCATCTGGTAGCCACTATTTTAGGACTACGTTGTGTTATAAAAATTACAAAGCTTCATTTAGAAAGATGTACCTGTTCTCCAGTTTACAGTAAATGTCTGTAATATGGATGCTCAGGTTTGACTCTTTACCCAGCATTTATAACATGTGTGTAACATGAGTGTAA